GGCGCTTCCACCTCATCCATCTTGGCCTGGTCCTTTTCGGTCACCTAGCACCGAAGATAGCTAGCAACCCCACGGGAGTAGAGAGAACTCGGGCATCCTCCGAGATAGAGATAATTATTGACTGCTTTCAGTCAGGATCAGCACTCGGAGCCGGGAATCGATCCACTAACTACGGACTCGAAGAAGACCCACTGGCACCCGAAAATGGTGCTTTCTTTGGCACGGGTGCAGTGACCAAACCCGGTGACGTCCTCCGAGGCAGTAGATTCTAAGCCATCGAAGAAGTTATTGAGATATGTTGCCCCCTGAGGCCCCTCGTGTGAACACTCTTTTAGCATGTCAGCCTCGTTGATCAGTGATTCGGAGAATAAAGGGGACCCGGAGATATCAATCACCCCAAGCGCATCTTTCGGGGCACTTTCCTTTGAACGAATAGTGTCGGCCATGGTCTCCTTCTCGACCTCCCTAGTTTGGGGCAAGGCGACCTCACCCCTTTCCGGTTCAGAGACTCCGGTCACTGCCCCCTCAGCAACCTCCCTGGCTCGAGGCAATGTAGTGTTGACTCGCACCTGAGCCACCAGGTTGGAATTTTCTTCTTCTTCAACGGACTCATCCCTCAGCCGGTGGACTAAGTCCGATGGGAGGGCGCCGGTGTTTTCCTTGGGTTTGCGCACCTGCCTCCTTTTCGATTTCTACTTCTCCGAGTTCGGGGAATTTGGAGCCTCTTTTCTTTTCTTCTCTTTAGCCTGCTTTGGAGCAGGTGATTGGGGGAGGACGTCTTCATCTCCAGACGGGGGCCTCATTGCAACATCCTTCCCAAGGCCTACAAAGGAAAAGAGATGAGTAAGCTCGAAAAGAAACCCAGGTGATGTCTGTTCTAGGAAAGAATCTTACCGTGAGAACGGGTCTCCCACCGGCCCTTTGAAAGTTCGCGTCACGCGCGCTCGGTATAGGGCTTCTGTGATACAATTCCCTCGACCCACTCCTTGAGTCGGGGAACTACATCCGGTATCCGAGAAATGGCTGCACCACGAAACATCGATAAGAAGGAAGCAAAAAGGAAAAGCAGTAAACGAAATTTTAAAGGCAAAGTTATACTTACATTTCATGTTCTATTTCTCGGGAAATGGCATATCCTTAGCCGGAATTAAATTCGAGGTCTTCACTCGAACGAATCAACCCAACCAACCTCGGTCTCGATCCTCGTCTATGCTCGAGAATGGGGCCTTAGAGGCCCGATGGGCAAGATTTATTAATCCGCCTCGATAGAGTCAGGGACTATACAGACGCATGAGGTGGTCGATGGTGAAAGGACACTTGTCGATTTTACTTACAAAGAAGCGGAGAAGAATTACTATCCTCCAGAAGGAGGGGTGAATTTGACCAGGGGTCACCTCGTACCTCTTACAGAAGGCGATGATGACCAGGTCCAAAGGGCCAACGTGAAGGGATAAGTGTAAACACTTTAAAAAAACCTCCACGTGGGTAGTAATCGATTCCTCGGGCGTAGGAACCACCACGTGCTTATCGGCTCAATTGCAGTCTTCCTTGACCTTGGAGAGGAGGTTGTCTGTAGGGGTGTTCATTAAAACCCGAAAAACCGAACCAAACTGAAAACCAAACCAAACCGACCAAAAAAATCGATACTTTTTGGTTTGGTTTGGTTTTGGTTTTGAATTTTAAAAACCGATTAATTTGGTTTGGTTTTGGTTTTAATCAGAAAAAAACCGAACCAAACCGACTATAGGAGTAGCTATTTCAAATTTATTATTACACCTATATATATGTATATTGTTATACAAAGTTTCAAAAAATTTATGGTAAATGTTAATAGTTTGCACTTTTAATATAGTTCTTTACCTTTACATTCTAGTTTGATTGGTAGTTTTCTTTTGTTTAGTGTAAGAATCCATGTCGTGTTAAAAATAACATATTTTTAATTGAGTCCTTAAATTATTCATCACTATTTGATTCAATTATCATCAATATATCTTGGTAAATAATAGATTTCTCAAAGGGCAATTGATCTGATAGTGTTACATTGAAAATGCGGTCGCTGGAATATGTGTTTGGTAGTGTATGTCTTATATTTAAGAAAAAACCGACAAATAACCGAAAAAACAGAAAAACCGACATAAACCGAATCGAGAAAAACCGACTTAATTGGTTTGGTTTGGTTCTAATATTTGAATAACCGACTTGCTTGGTTTGGTTTCTTTTTAGAGAAAAACCGATCCAAACCGAACCATGAACACCCCTACTTGTCGGTGATCGAGCATATATATCTCGAGACCGGCTCGCACCGACCCGGTACGGAAGAGGGTTTTTCGACTTTGGAGTCAGCACCGATTGGGCACCCCCCAGGAACGAACATAGTCAAAGCAGGCTCCGACATCTTTTCCTCAATAGCAGCAGATGGAACGTTTTCCTCTTCAGCCGGTCGGAAGCAGAGGGAGCTTCATTTTGGGGAACGAACTTTGAGGTCTTCGCCATTTTTAGGGAAGCTAAGAGAAAAGAGGAAGTTAAAAGGATGTGTTTGATAAAGTGAGGTAAAGAGCAGAAGTAGTTCTTATGAAGTGATCTCAAAAGTAATCAGAGAATTGATGTTGGAGAATATAGAAATTTCTAGTGTACGAGGGCAGAGCCTTTGAAAGTAAATTTTGAATAAGATAATGAGGAGGTATTTATAGTTTGCAAACGACGGTTCAAAATCCGTAATGGCCGACTAGTAAATGACGAACATTTAATGCCATTTAAGACGTGACTGGCGAGACGTTTCGTCAGTTTTGTCGTTTCTGGCGCGAAGAATCGAGACGAAGATCGAGGGCTCGTATCGTTTCTCGTCGTTTACTCTCCAAAAAACGAGGGGACTATCTGTATACAGTAGAAACCGGGCTCGTCTATTGCATGACAGGTCGGGACTGAAACATGATGGGTTGAAGCTCGACCCCGGATTATATCGAACCAAGGTACCAAGTTAGATCATCGAGCCCATGACTCCGGACCCGACCCCGACTCTGAACAAGATCGAGAAAACTTTATCGGGTCAAATAATGGAAGGCCGAAATATCTGTAATCGGTCGGATATCACGGCGAAAATCTCGGCACATATCAAGGAGAGACCGATATAGCAAATTATGAGGTTTTCTACCTTTTATAGAATTGTATCTATAGTAGGACTCCCCTACTATATAAAAGTGGGTCTGATCATGTGTAAGACACATTGTAACACACATCAAAAGGCAATACACTGTTATTTTTAGTTCTCATTATCTTGTTATTCTGTTGTGACATCGATTGAGGCACTTTCTAACTCGAGGGTGACCAACCTTCAAGGATAACACTGTTCAACTTGTATGGTTTGCATTCACTTTTCTGTCCTTGTGTAAAATAGAAAGAAAGTGTGAAGATCTTTCTAGTTTTTTAAGTATCGATAGGCGTCTCAGGGTTTACTCAAATATACTAATTAATAGGGCTCTAAACACTAAAAATGGTAATTAAAAAAAAAAGGAGACAGGGAGGGAGATAGCTCGGAATACAATTGACTGTCAAACTTAAGTTGGTTTGCCACAATCGACGAACCAGTATGAGATTGTTAGGGATGAAACTTCCAATCCTTCGGAGAGAACTCAAACTAAAAAGTTGTGAGATTGTCTCGAGAATGAAGCCCTCAATAATCACAAGGATTGTTCAATACTAGCAGCATTAGTTCCCTATCAAAGCACTAATAAACAGTGGCGAAGCTAGGAATTTTTCTAAGGGTGTTCAAATTTAAAAGCAGTGAAAAAATTTCTCGACAAAGGATGTTCAGTATGTGTTATATACCTCTAAAACATAATATTTTACCTATGTATGCAGTGCAATTTTTCGACGAGGGGTGGTTAGTTGACCACCCTTATGACTATGTGGCTTCGCTACTGCTAATAAGTATATCACTTTCTTCATTAACCGCATTAATATCGCAATTTTATCTATCACGATTTGGCCCTATCAAAGCACTAATAAACAGTGGCGAAGCTAGGAATTTTTCTAAGGGTGTTCAAATTTAAAAGCAGTGAAAAATTTTCCGACAAAGGATGTTCAGTATGTGTTATATACCTCTAAAACATAATATTTTACCTCTGTATGCAGTGCAATTTTTCGACGAGAGGTGGTTAGTTGACCACCCTTATGACTATGTGGCTTCGCTACTGCTATAAAAATATCACTTTCTTCATTAACCGCATTAATATCGCAATTTTATCTATCAGGATTTGGGCTCAAGCTTACGTAACTATCCAGACATGGTAAAAACTTACAAATTTACGTACCATGGGTAAGCATAAATGAATGTAAGAATACGTGTTAATTAACTACAATTCAGTGATAACGTGAAGACGTGTCAAGTATCCATTCAGGTGGTGCGAACACCTAGTGCGAATAAATTTTTACTATTTACCTATTTCCACATTGCTTGTGAGTTTATAGTATTGTTCTTCACCTCATTTAATATTAAAAGAGGTAAGCTATGTACTAAAATATTGAAGGCAGAAGATCATTAAAACAGCAACAAGGAGACAATCCTTAGCACATTATATATCAGCTACACTTTCCCAAATAGCCTTTGGACAGTAAGCTACAAATACCAAACAGAAAAAGTGCAATGAAACAACATCAAATTAAAAAATGTGAATCACAAAATTTCGAATTAATTATATGTGTACTTCATCTTAATTAGTAGTTTCAGTTGAACTTAAGTGACTGCTTTAATTAATTTTTATAACATGATAAGCACACACTAAAGTCAACCACTACATTAAACTGTATAATAGTGCCAAATATTTAGGTCAAGAACCAATAGGAAGTAGATTTATGAGGTAAAAAGCTGATTAAGCAGGAAAATCCTGTCGATCTACACAAACAAAACTAGAAATTAAAGGTTCTGAAATTCAAACTTCCAGAATACACACACACACACACACAAAGTTAAAAATAAAAAGTCAAGAGATGGAGAAAGTGACCTGGTGCTTGAGTATTCATAGAGTTTGCTAGTACTGGAGAAGATGATGACACCGACCTCTGCGTCGCAGAGGATCGCGAGCTCCTTCGCCTTCTTCAACAATCCGTTCCTCCTCTTCGAAAAAGTCACTTGCCTGCTCGTTGAATTGTCGATCCTTCTTATCATTATCTTTCCTCTCCCCATCTCGATTTCTTTCTCTCTCACATATACACACAATCAATCAGAAACACATATTCCTACAAATATTTGCAAGTATATATAGCAATACCAGTACATACAGGAAAAGCCAGATATAGAAGTATGTGTAGCAGATGCAGTAATATATGTATAAAAGTTTTCTATGGCAAAAGTATTTTTCTATAATTTGCACCAAAAAGTTACAAATAAAATAATATACTGACTCAAAATTTTGAATACAGCTCCAATGTACGGATTTAGGTGGAGGGAAAAGCAATCAGGGATAATTTGACCACTTTATTTTTGGAGAAAAATGTAACAGAAAAAGGGAGAAAAGAGAAAACTTACTACTTGTGAATGTATTTGTAGTGATGGAGACAAAAATGAGGGTTTTGGCAGTCGTTGTTTATGGGTAAGTCTTGTGATTGAAATAGAATAGCCTATATAAGGAAAGTGTACAATGTAAAGGCGAAAGAAAGATGTTTGGTTGGTGAGTGGAGCTGTGGAAGGGGTTTTCAAAAACCGCTGATGGTTTTGTGTGCGTGAAAGCCACGTGTTCCAATGAAATGCTTGATTTAGTAATTTGCTGGGAAAAGTGCCGCCGTCAATAGATTGCTGACGCGTGGTTTACTAGTATTAGAATACTACTAGTACTCTTTTTTTGTTTTTCCGCTCAGAATAGTATTCTTCCCATTTTAATAGTTTCCCCTTTCGACGAGATTTTGGATGGCGGATTTTCTTCTCTCTCTCCTTTTTTTTTTTTTAAATTTTATATATAGGGAGTAGGGGAAGGAAATGAGGGAGGAAACTACAAGGTGAGGAATCGAACATTCACCAACAAGGTAAAAGTTAGGGTTGTCTAAGAGGAGGGGTGTACCTAAATTAGTATCGGTCCATATTAGTACAGTTCTGTATAGGTACCTATCCGTACCGATATCGCTTTCGTACCAGCCTGAGTTGGGGGTAGCAGTGGCGGTTCTAGAATTTTTAGATTGTGGGTGCTCAACTATTCTTAATTTGAAAATTACTACTTAGACTGGGTGCTTAGTTAATATATTTATATAAATTACTAATTTTTCTATGTAAGTAGTAGTGTTGTTTTCAAAAGCAATGGGTGCTTAAGCACCCATATGACATAATGTGGATCCACCATTGGGGGGTAGGTACGGATTTAGGTAAAGGGAACGGGGACTGGGAGGTTACCGGTAGAACCGGGCCGGTTGATACCCTTAACGCACCAAATCGATATGCTTAACGTTTCTTTTTTAAAGGCATTCGTTTTTGCACCATTAACCAACTGTTAGCTTTTTAAAAATAACGGCTATTTTTGCCTCGCCAACTCCCTAAACACCCCTTACCCCCTAATTTATATTTTTTAACCCTTACACTTTGACCCTATTTTAAACTATACATACTCCATTTCAGTATTTCAATTTTCACACAAAAATCTCCTATCTCTCTAATTCTCTAACTCTCTCTATCTCTCTAATTCTCTAACTCTCTCTATCTCTAATTGCAATTAACGTTCTAGCACTATTATTAAATTTCGCATTTATTATTGTTATATTTGTTGTTATTTAATTATTTATTATTCAAAATGGCTCCTAAACTGGTAAAATAATTATGTAATAGATTTACTAAGGGCAATACTAAGGAGGGGTTCCTTGTTTTGAAACAAACACTAACCAGTCCAGATTTAGGCGTTACATACAAGAGACGTATAATCCTACTTTTTAAGGTTTTCCAAGAACAACTGTTAGAAATAATATTTGCGATGATGAAGGAAATAAAGACTTGCTGAAATATTGGAAGAAAAGAAGCTTTGGCCATCTAGAATAATTCGACGATGCCTATAGTAAAATACTATCTACCAGAGACATCGGGGAAGTAGAAGAACAAGTGCTATCAATTTCAAGCGAAGAACCAATAAAAGTTATTGAAAAATTCCATAAATCGTTCAAAAGAAATATGTAATTTAATTTTTATTGAAATAAAAGTATTGAATTTTTTTCTACCATTAAAATTTGTTTGTATTTAAATATACGGAAAAGGGTCAAAAATATTCCTCTACTATTCGAAAATATTCACTTATATCCTCCGTTATACTATTGGTCCACAACAACCCCTGACATCATAAAATTGGTGTAAAAATACCCCTCTGCCGCTAAAACCTTCCACCACGGCAAAATTATCCCATGTGGACTGTCATATCGTTGACGTGGATGCCACCTCTTCACACCTATCCCATTTTCTCCCCTACCATACTTTTTCTTCCACCACAACCTCCCTCTTCATCCAACCACCACCAACATTACCTCCTCCTTCATCGTACACGTATTCTTCCACCACCATCAAATTTCATTAGTCTTGGCCACCACTCTTTCACTAAAAATCTATCGAAAATTTTGATTTCTTGGTTTCATTTTCGGATTTGGTTTCAGCTAATGTGAGACCCAGGACCATTTGGCAATTGATTAAACTCAAAGAAGTGAAAAATGCTTTCCAGCTGCCACAACAAGAAGGAAAATCTCATAATTCATGATTTACTGAAATGTTCAGAGCATAATGAAATATTTTTATACAATGGTACATTTGGTTTCTAGTTCAATGATTAGGATTTTAGTGTGTAAAGATTTTCTTTATAGGCGGTCATTGCCACTAGTATACTTTCTAAAAAGAGAAAAGAAAGCCCTTCCATTGCTACCTTATGCCACCTCCTTCGCTTACTTTATGCTAGAAGCAGTTTTAGATTTCCATTTCCAGCTATAAAGTTCCGCTTTGTATCATAAAGAAAGCTGTATTTAATTACCATTTTCATCTTTGCAATTTAATTTATAATAATAGGTTATATAGATTTTCCATATTTTTTTCCTTCTTTTACCAACTTGCACAATGCACTTAAATTTTGTCAATGCATTTGGACACACTGTTCTTTTCCTTCTTTATCTTTTGACAAAATAAAATAGTGTCCACTAAAGCTGCTCCAACAAGCTTTGGCACTTTGGTATCCAAAAATGAAACCAAGAAATCAAAACTTTATATTGATTTTTATGAGAGGTGGCCAAGACTAGTGGTTTGATGGTGGTGAAAGAATACATGTGTGGTGAAGGAAGAGGTGATATTGGTGAAGGTTGGGTGAAGAGAGAGGTGGTGGTGAAAGAAGTAGGGGAGGGGATAAAATAGGATAGGTGCAATGAGGTGACATGCCATGTGGCATCCACCTCAACGATATGTGAGGTCACGTGGGATAATTTTGCCATGGTGGAGGGTCCTAACGGCAGAGGGGTATTTATGCACTAGTTTTATGACGTCGGGGACTGTTATGGACCAATAGTATAACAGAGGGTATAAGTGAATATTTTACAATAGTAGAGGAATATATTTGACCCTTTTCCCTTAAATATAATATTTTTTAGAATTCTAATTTAAAAATATTCCTAAGTACCCCCCCCCCCCTTAGGACTAAAAATACACTTACCTCATACCCTTAAATTTCCTTAATCACAGTCCCCTTAAGGAATCCCCACCCCCCTCATACTGGTACCGCACCCATACCAGTCCCCTTAAGAACTCAGTACCCTCCCCTTAGAGGCTTAGACAGCCTTAGCAAAAGTTAAAATAGTCAACCAATAGAACTACTAAGATTCCTCAAATTTATTTCTTTTCTGGTGATATTTAATTTATTATTCTGGTTGGAGTCGCGCGGAAAAAGTATGAGGCTACAAAAGTGGTTATTTGTGTAAGTCAATCAAGCTTCTACTTCCTATGTAAAAATACTTTATGCACTTTGTTTTATGTGACACTTTTTATTTTCCTTTTTGATGTTCAAATATATTTGCCTATTTTTTCATACATTTTCAAGACTCCCAATAATTCCGATTCATTAGATCTCCATATATATTTTAAACTTTATTGAGATGTTGAGATGTTTTCTCTATCAAACATACTTTTAAATTACTAATTTGAAAACTTCTTCTATCACCAATATTGTATGTCATGTTTTTGACTAAACACGATTTTAAATTGTGAATATGAGTTAAGAGTTGTTGGACCCATGTGCCAATAACTCTTGGACTTTAGATGTTGACATAATTTTGTTAATTGAGTAATACTTTTCAAAGACTTGAGGTGTTTTCTTTATTCAATCTTTACATTTTGGGGATAATAGAGCAATTAACAAGTTTTACTAATGAAATGTAATTTATCTAATGCTACAGGGTTATAAAAGTAAACATAGATCACAGTTGAAAAGGTCATTGACTAGTAATAAAGTGTGCTCCACATGTCAAAAGAACAGACGAATAATGGCTTCTTGTTTTGGATTTTAAGGTTACCGTTTAAGGAAGTCTTGCACCGTGCCTTAAAAAATTCTCATTTTCATGGCAAATGTCTTTTGTTTGTCTCCAGTTTTTCTTCTTCTCTCTCTTTCCCCAAATAAAAGTGGAAATAAAGAAAAAAGGAAAATAATTATAAACGATATTTTTTTGTCTCTCAATTGGTGTATGTCGCATAATAAGGTCAAATAAAAGGGAAACTCAGTCATAATTTTTTCATTCTTAATATTCATACCTAAATCCTTCAAGACATAGCTTCAAACGTTCTCAGTCATACATTTTTTCATTTTTAATATTCATACCACCAGCATTGATAGTTACAAAAACTTACAATTCATATCTAAAAAAGCTAAGAATCTTTTTTAATATAAATGGGATATTATTACTTTTAGCCCGCGCTATTTACATTTGGTAGCCCAAGTGTATAAAATTTGTACAATTTTTATATATAATATACAGAAAGTATATACATGCAAAATAATATACATTTTTTGACTATTATTTTTACAGCGGCTATACTGTGTCATTTGTCAAATATAAATAAGCTCTAAATGTTGACTTTAAGAAATCAAGTCACCGTTAATTACTGAATGTAACTTTCACACACTCGTGAACAATGTGGAGCCTTATAATTTCTTCTTCAAAAAATAAAAATAAAAATACAAGAGCATTTGGCAGTTTTTCTATGCATTTCTGCAACAAAATATGTCTTGAAATAATATTTGAAGCTAGTTACAGAAGAAGGATCCTCAAATCTCCAAATTAGAAAGCAATGATTTACTCTCTCAATTTAATTTGGGGAGAAAATCATACTTCCTTTTTAATCTTGTATAAAGAATTAAACTCATCCCTCAACTTTAAAACATATATATACCCCCTTTCGTATCTCAATATTCCATAACTCGAAAAGCATGTTTGATTGAATTTACACTACCAACTTGAAGATAGACTCATTTACGTGGAGCAGAGGCGGAGCTAGAATTTCAATTTTATGGGTTCCAG